AGATCAGGAAAATAAAGAATGAACAGGCAAACCTGAGGGATAGAAGAGCAGATAAAGAAGAGCGAGACCCGTCCAACCGTTGCACAGACAAGTAATAGTGGAGAAATTTGTAAAGAACACAACAAAAAGTAACTTATGTAAATATTTGAAAATTCTTTTCATTTGGATTGCTTGGACACTTCTGCTATGCTGGTTGCCTCAGCCAGTAGGATATAGTATTTAAGTTATTTGCTCGAGGCTGAAGTTTTATAATTCCCTTGGTTTGGGAATTCAAACTTCATTGAGTAATATGGCCTGCCTTTCAACAAATGGAAACATTTTTCGCGTAGTGAAGTTTCACCTCAGTGGGATCACCCTATGAGTAACAGTAAGACTTACTCCCTCCCACTACAAATTTAGGGTAGTGACGTATTATCAATACTCACATAGTTGCTCCACCACAGCAAGCTAAATTGAATAATGGAACTCACTTGTTAGTCTGTCGATGTTGCTCTTAACTGCTTTAACATGTTGAAATGTCTGTAACCCTATTTAGGTTTAAAGGCGCAGGATTCCCATATTACGCAAGGTAAAACATGCAGAAGTAGAAAGGAAAAGCGATTGAACTATATTCAGTATCATGTGCATCAACACGCTGCCTCCATATAGTATTTTTTCTTTACAGAGCAATTCTTATACAAAGAGGAGAGAGAGGCCAGACCAAATTGCAAAGAGAAGGTAAATATATGGAGGTGGGCATAATGCGTGAAAATCTGAAAACCCTTTTCAGAAAATATCATTGGGGTTTCATTTGGAGTATACTATTTGCAGCCAGATCCTGCTCCCATATGTTTCCTAAAAAACCTTCTGGATTTCAAATTCTTGCAAAATAACTGTAAGTAATGCACTTTTGTAGTTACTTTAACTAATAAATGCATTTTAATGCATATTTTTACCCTGCCCCATGCATTCTTGTACACATTACTTGCCGGAGAGCAGCACTGCAACATTCAGTGAATGTTGAATTCAGAAGGGCTGATATGTTTCCAGTTGGTACAGCATTTTGTTTCAGAAAGTGAGAAGTAGGTAAATGGGCTTTAAAATGATAGCTGAATCTAATTTCTCCCTCATCTCTACATTAGACTGGATTTTTCTTCCCATTGGGTTTCTTCATCATTTCTTGAAGTTCCCCTCCCCAATATTTAGGGCTAAGATTCCAGTGAAATGTCTAACATCATTTTCCAAAAGGCTTAGGACAGCAGGCAAAGGAGAGGATACCAGACGACAACGCACAGGGACAAAATATAGTAGAGGACATAACATCAAAAAGGTCTCTTTTAGGAAATTTAATTAAGATGTTTCCAGCCCCACATCAAAGATTTTTTTTTTCATTGTGATTTCAGTTACAGTATAAAAATTTCCCAATGAGAAGGACAGGGCCCCCGCCCCCCAGAACACCTCCCCAAAGAACAGTATAATGGAAGGAGCCCAGAATAAATTCTACCCGACACCTGGGCTCTTTGATTTAGTTCAGATTCCCAGAAGACATGAACCAGAAATCAATCAGGATACGACCACATGACTAAATGTTAAAAAATAAATAATTCTTTTTTTTAAATTGAAAAAGTCACAATGAGGATTGGATACTTACTGGAGATCTCTTCTTCTCTGTTGTTGTTTTACAAAGGGAAACAATGGTTTTTTTAGATTTTGCTTTTTTCTTTTCATATTATTTTATCATCAAAATATATTCAAAGAAAATACAGAAAAGATCAAATTGTTATTTATTTCTATTCACAACCCATTTCTGAGTATATCACAGAGAACACTTATACTTGTTTCTGTTCACATCTCTGTATTAGAAGTGACTCCAACATACATGAGGGTTATGTTCCAGGACAACGCATAAAAGCCAAAATTTTGTGATAATCAGAATACTTCTCCCTGCACCTCCAAACACTCTCCCTAAGGTAGGTTAACAAAGTTCTCGCCCTCAAAGTTCCGCCCCCTTATTATTTACGTTTTGCCAAGTGAGTAAGCTGAATGTGCATAGTTAAGTTGTGAGTTACAGTATGAGATAGAAACTTGTGTTCCGTTGATGTGCACTTAACCCATGTACATAAGATGCAATTGAAGTCCTCAATTCCCGCTAGAATCCAGATTTTCTTCTCTCCTGCTGTTCTGCAAGCTGCAGTTTCCGGAGGCAGCACTACTGCTCACATTGTGCTGAAAGTGTCTCATTGCTATCGTAATATATGCATGGTTATCAGTCTATCAAAAATATGTATCAAATAGGCATATTTTTTTACTTTTACCAATAGGCAGCATTTCCATATTTCCATATGCTACATATTAAGATCCAAGAGACACCTGAAACTCTGAGGGAAACTGAGGCAACTCTGTTGCTTTAGTACCAAACTCTTCAAAGATCTAATACACACCATGAATTCCAACACTACTACAGGAAGAAGAGATAATTCAGCTGCAAAGGGTTCTCTACATAGGCTGCTTAGAAAGAAGAATCAATTGCTTGTCATATTCTTCTCTGGCTGGGATCATATTTCTGAGGCAGAAAAGAGCTTCCTCCTTGCCTCCCTCCCACTCTTCTCAATAAGACTATATAATAAATACATAAAGTCACAATACTCACGCCCAGTACTCTTGGACAAATCAAGACCCTAAATTGAAAAACAAATTTAACTTATTAGGCTTCAGGTCCCTACTTTACAGATGACAGTCTTTGAAAGTAGATTACTGAAAACAGTCTTCAATAAAAATGTGTTCTCTTTTGAGGGGATGCCTGGTCCAGTCCAGATCTTTCCCAAAAATCCTTGTGTATTTTCCCTTCCAGGACAATAGTATTTGACCACAAATTAAAAGAGGATGCCACGGAAATCAGTTTCCAAAGCAAAAGACAGGAGCAGAATCCAATCTTGTGTTATACAGTAAGAGAATTTTAGAGCCTGGACTGACTGGCCTGGCAGGAGACATCTGAATTCAGGAGGAAACTCACTTTGATCTTCAGAAAAGGTCTGGCTCTGGTTTGCATCACTAACTGTGTTGTTGTGGTGAGTGTGAAAGAAAGGGCCTTTTGGTGGGTTATGCCCATCTTTGTTTCAACCGTACATTTCAGGAAGAGAAATAGTTTACTATGTCTTCCACGTTTTATTGCGCTGTAGTTTTGGGGTTTTGTTTCATGTGTTCCTTTGCTCATGGATTCATAGCTTTTATTACAGCTGTTAGCAATACTAAGGACCTTTCCAGGAAGGATATGTGAGATATGAACATTTTAATACAACTGAAATTCATGGGGTCAAGAGATAGAACACTAGGAGAATCATGATACCCCAATTATTCATGTGGCATTCACACCCCAATGTTGCCAAAGCTTATACACCAACCAAACCCAAGAGTTGTGATAGGAAGTGACAATATACAGTACAGTAGATCTGCAATTGACATGGGCGTCATGTTTCGGGGTTACGTACAAAGGCAAAAC